CCAGTAAGAAAGGTTGTGTTATCTGCATATTGCAGATTGTTAATGAATCTTCCTCCAATCCTGATATTTCAGTGATCCTGGACTGCATGTAGTTCCCCTACACACCATGTTCTTTCTATGCCTTTTCTCTTGAGGACACTGTTTCACATAGATCTCTTGAACTTTATTGCTCATGGTGCAGTAAGCAGCACGATAAGCTGCATATTTGAATCAGTTCTTCCCTGTCCTCAAGTCCCACAAGGGTGACCTGGATAGGCCCAGATGGGTGGCTGCACCTACAGTGGGTTCCATTAGAGGGGAACCTGGAGCTGAAGGAACACGATCTTTTATAATGGGCAGTAAGCATGTCTGCCCTTAACTCTGGAAAGAAGACATTATCTTCCAAGGCTATAAACAAACTTGCTCTTTGTCCAGCTGTGGGGAGGGCAGGAAAAGGGGGAGACACTATCTCTAGCTTCCAAGGCTGTTCACGCTATAAACATACTTGAAGTGTCTAGGACACAGGGAGTCAGTGCCTCACTTAACAAGATATAACAGAAATGCACTCTTGAGAATTATCTCTCAATAGGTATAAACTGCAGGAAAATAAAATAATGCTAAAAACAAACACACGTTTTACTGTTTGTGATGGAAATGCTCTGACTTGTGGTGAGATACTCTAATCTACAACTTATGAACAAACAAACATGAAGGGACTCTTACATAGTTTTAAAGCTCACCAATACCAGTTCTGACCATCTTGACCCACTTCATAACTCACAACACAATAGATAAAATACTCTGGAAGTCCTTCAAAGCATAACTTCAATATTGTAAGCAACATTTCCATTTCTATTTTAATTTTCTCCTCAGTCTTTCTCTTTTTTTTTTTTTTTTTTCTTTTTGTAAATTTGGCTAACTTCGCACATAAGCTCAGCTAATCTTCACTGCTGGATGTTAGCCAAAATAGAGTTCCTCAGCTAAGCCCTTAGGAGATTCAGAGTCTTGATTAAAGGAGAGATTTTAAAGTTATGGAAGTTAAAGCAGATTTCTACTGAAACATGATTATGTTTAGTAAGAACATTCACATACTAGAACAAAAATATATTGAGTACATTCTAATATTCCAAGAAATGGGGCTAGCAGTTATGTAAGGGAAGCTGCTTACCCGAACATTCATCTATTAAGCCCCACTTTGTTCCATGACCCAGGCTTCTTAAGAGACTGCCATAACAATTAAATCTCTATCTCCAGAAGATCCTGTCTACAAGGGATTGTGAAGGAAGGGATAAGAGCTCAATTCCAGGTTGCCCTCAGTTTTGTCTGTCAAGTTACTTATCCCACACAATGAAACGTATGAATAGCCAGAGGCATATTTCTGTTAAGGGAATACAGTCAGGTTCCGTTGTAAGCTTTTCCACCCCCAAAGGATAGTCAGGAAGGTGCTGCCATTATGATCCCATTGCTAGATAAAATCACAGATATGTTTATCATTCCATTACAATTCTTTACACTCTAGACCTTATGTTCTCAAACCACTCTGTTTTGGAGATTATCTCAATGTTTTAGTAAGGTACAAACACCATCCATCTAGTGTTACTGTGTCCATGTGTGTGTTCTGGATTAAGGCACTTTTTTTTTGTTTGGATTACAAACCACATTACTTGATAAATATCTGAGAAAAATGGGAGTGGGTGAGTTGAAAGTAGCCTTCACTAATTCTATGAATACAATCCTTCTAAGAAAGATTCTTGCAAGTGTTTAGTTTTCTAAATAACTTTATAATGGAGCAAAACCATGCTCTTGCAAAAACATCCAAGGTCCTTACTCTGGTATAATTTATTCCTCTTAGTGAAACAGGACCAACAATAAGGTCACCAATTTCCTCATCAACACCCACTCCCATTTCCACTTCTAGGCTCCATTCCAAAACCAAAACCAAACTCATGCCATCAAGTCAGTTCCAACTCATAGCAACCCCTCCTTGTGTTTCCAAGGTGGTGTCTCTATGGAAGTAGATTGCCCAGTCTTTCTTCTGAGGAGTGGCTGGTGGGTTTGAACCACCATCCTTCTAATTAGCAGTCAAATGCCTTAGGCACTACACCACCAGAGCTTCATAGACTCCATTAGTGAATTTATTTATTTATACCTTGTTTTATCTACAAAGGATTTTCTGTTCCACTACAACTACTAATATCAACTTAGTTCCACCGTGCTTTTTAAGGGAGATTTATTGAAATGGTATAGAAAGGAAATTGTCCTTTAAAGAGTTGCTTCAATTTTCAACACACATTGTATTTTATCCTCTATCTCTTCAGAATAACAATATTGAGAATACTTCTAGCACAAGATGTCAGCTGTCATTCCAATCCAAAGCAGCTAAGGCTTTTGATTCAAGAGCCAGATTTGCTCATATGGGCATCTAGACAATACAACCCTAATATCAAATTAATCTCCTGATGTTAAAAACAAAGTCAAATCCCTGCTTTTAAAATTTACATTGTATAAAGAGAAAATATATCACCTAAAAACCTGGTTCCCTGTCAGAAACTTCTCAACTACACTTTTCATCCAGTAATATAAACATACTCACTGTAACACATGTGGTGATGCTAACTTCTACTCTACTTTGTTTCTCTAAACCAGAAATAAGATTCTTTTTTGTTGTAACCATCAACCTTCTTACATTAAGTAGGAAATCTCAAAATTTGAGTGTGTTTTTCAACAAAGAAATGGTGGTCACCCAGGCTTAACTCCCAAAGCTTAAATGGTTTGAAAATGTATTATTGCTAAATTCTTGCATTTAAAGAATTAGTCATAAGGAAGTTAGTGGTGAGCTAGCCAAAAGCTCAGTCACCCTGGGCAGGAAGTGGCTGAGAAATGTGTAGCAGTAGATTCTAATTTTTTTTTCATCTGCTGGTCATTTTGGCTAAACACATCAAAGACCACCTACTCCACTATTTCCCAGCTATCATAGCAAAAAAGGAAAAAAAAAATTTACCAGAATGAATAGGAAAGAGGTTACTTTTGATGAAACACCACCAAGGTGACCATCTGGATTTTATGGTTATTTAATGTATGCCAAATTCCAAATTATACATTTTGTATTATAAATACTGAAGAGACCAGCCCACAGACCACCTTGGGTTCCCTCACAGATTATACTGTAAATTCCAACTCCAGGGCTATTTGAAATGCTGGCATTTTGCTAGGTGATATTCCTGCTGCTAAGTACATGAGGAATGCAGTGGTCACATGTAAAACTAAAGCAACACTGGAAACTATCTGCTGTAATTTATGCAAAAAGTATTAAGACCCTATGCCAGATCATAAGTCTCTCATTTTAGAAAAGTAGGGCATGAGACCTTTGCTGTATAATCAAAATTGGGTGAAAGTGATCAAGTTTTCTTTTTACTTCTGAGCACCAACTTTAAAATAACTACACAAATTCACACGCTGACTCTCAGTGACATTTCAGGAATGGGAGACTGGATTTACCAATAAGTAAGAAAATAAGCCTCATAAAAATTAGATAAATTTAAAGATCAGAAGACTCAATTAGTAATAAAACAAAATCACTTCAATTTTTCTTAAGGTTAGATAATTTTTAAAAACAAAGTGGCTAAAATTAATGTTGCCATTTTTTTTCAGAACTACTTGGACTCATTTTTGTGACAACAAAAAAGGGCTAAGCCGAAATCTCATATTCCATAAATTTAGTCAGCTACAAAGTTTCAAACTCACCCCCCCATAACCTCAAAAAATTTTAAATAAGATGGTTTATAACTGAAATACTCAAAATAAATCATCCTTGAATACTTTTAGATTTTCCCCAGTGTACCACAAATCACATCTGAAAACCCAAACAAAACAATCACTGACATGTTTGAGGTCTGCTGCCGAAACCCAGAGCTGCAGGACAAGAAAGGAGGAGATCAGAACACATAGCCTGCCCTCTGCTTGGCAGTACTGGCCTTTCGGAGGTTTCAGCCCATGCACGTTAGTATCTTGAGTCCACAAAAGCCAGCAGAACATTAAAATAATAACAACAAAAATAAAAATAGCCTCTTGTTAGAGGGAGAGGATCCATTTACTGCTGCCCTGCTGAGGTACAACTGATCACTGAAGGCAGGCAAGCTATTAGCATGAATTAATGGATAGATGGTTTTCAAACGAGATTATTTCCGTGATGGCCCCAATGTGGACTCAGCAACACTTCTCCTTCAAGAAAAATACAGTTTCCATTTCAAAGAGCACTGATTAAGCTTAATACTATTAGGGAACCATCATGGATTTTTGTTGTTACTACTTTAACCATCAGTTACTTTCTAAACCAAGAACTGTGGGTAGTTAACTTGACCCACAGTCAAGGTTTAGGAATGCCAGAGAAAATCCCAGGGACAGTGAAGCTTCAGACAGAGACAGGCCTCAAGGGGTTTGCACTCTGTAGCTTTGTCAGGTCCCAGCTTTTTCTCAGTCTTCTTCATCACTGTTATTACTAACTTGCCTGAAATTTAGAAATAATAGTTCACTTAGTCCATCACATCTCCTCCGGAAAGCAATGAATACCACATGATTTTAAGAATTCTCAATAAGCTTTATTAGTGGCAAAGTAAATCAATTATAACGAAAAACCAAATTAAAACTACCTAATGAGTAATTCTCAACTACTATTAACTCTCTCTGTAACACATAAAGCAGACATCTGTTTAAAAATCCAACAACAATAATTCCCTTTGTAAATTAAGGGTGAAAAATATAGCTGTGTTAAAGTCAATTTCCATTAATAGCTGAAAGTACAAATATAAATTAAATAAAGTTCAAAAAGCCACATACAATAAAATATTCTATAAAACAAAGCTAATTTTAAAAGGATAGCTCAATTTACTTTGCAATGTTTCTTTTCTTTATATAAAATCAGTTTTAAAAGTCCTTGTTTTCTGGATCATACATGTACATTTACATCCAGATGTCCTCTCTGTGACATCCATATTCTTTCTTCATTGTCAAAATCTTCATTTTCATTCCTGGCTGGACTTTTCCTCCTTGGCAAATCTTTTTGTTACCCCACTGAAATATTTCTCACGGAAGGAATTATGACCTTGGTACAGCAGAATCTGGTCACTCAACAGGTGTGAATACTGGTCCCGGTTCTGGTTGGTGGGAAAATAAAGATGATTATTTTCTTAGTTAGCTTGCAATGAAAGCAGACATTTACTAGAAGCAAAATCTCATTTTCTGGGGCACATCTGTGGTTTTTTTAATTGCCAAATTAGAAAAACAGCACACTTTCCACCTGTGCTGTGCCCACGTATCCATAGCTTTCACTCTACTTATTTAAACCTCACTGTAATCCTCTGCTGTAGAGACAACAAAAAACTTACTGAGAAACAGGCCCAGAGGAGTTACACTAAAGAGATCATCTCGGTAACCCAGGTATGCTTGCATCTTCTGATCCCTTGTGACTATGACTAAGCATGATCAAAGAAGGATGCTTCCACTCCAGAGGAAGGTGGGTAACAACAACTTACTGCATGTGAATGACACCATACAGAGGAATAAAACTGTTTGGGGCTATATCCATAGTCACAGAATGAAGTAAACAATTCCTAGCAACTTTAAGTAAGCACAGTAGATGAGTGTGCTGGTTAACCAAGTGACCATCACATTTTTCAACTTTACAGATAAGGAAGGCCTAGTCCTCAATTGACATCTGGACATTGGAAGTTAGACTGCAAAACACATTTAGGCTTAGGAACAGGCAGACCTGCAGGAAACAAGGAAATATCAGCTTCTCATTCAATTTCACCCACCTTTCCAAACTGTGAAAAAAAAATAATTAGATGGCATAACATACTACACAAAAACACTGTTCCACATTCTTCTTTGGTGATTAGCGACTGGGATCTTAAACGCTTGCAAGCAGCCATCTAGATGTTAATGATGGGTCTGTACTCATCCAGAGCAAAGAACAATAAAGAAAACCAAAGATGCACAGAAACAATTAGTCCAAGGGACTGGCAAACCATGCAATCCTCAGCCTGTATGACCATGAGACCAGAAGAACTAGATGGTGCCTGGCAACCGCTTGGAGGGCAGTTGGCGCAGGAGATCCTGGGTAGAGAGGGAGAACAATGGGGAACAAATCTCAAAATCATGAAGGAAAAAAAAAAAGGACCAGATTTGCTGGTCTAATAGGGCCTGGTGAAACTCCTGAGACCATGGCCCCTAGCTGCCTTTCAGGTCTGGAATTGAACCCCCATCTGTGGCTTCCAGCCAAACAGAAGACAGGCATATGAGCTGAACATTTACATTAGGTAGATATACTCCTTGGAGAGATCAATCATGGGAGAATAAAAGAGCACAGTGTATCCACAGGGAGACAGCTCAGAGGGCAGGAGTGCATGGAAGGGAAGGACACTGGAAAGAGGTAACTATGAGGAGGAAGTGGGAAGACAGCTGTTACGTTGTGGGAAATTGCAGTCTATATCATGAGGCGCAAGGTATATGAACTGCTGCATGGAAAATGAATTTGCTCTGTAAATTTTCACCCAAATCACAATTTTTTAAAAAAATCTAATTAGAAATAAAATCTCATTTCTCATGACTTCTGTAAATTCACATTTGATTACACATGTATTAATGGGAGTTTGAAAACAGGTAAGGAAAATCAACCAAAAAACATGAAGCAAAACTTTTCATCCTGATTTCAGTATCAAAATGTTAGCTACCAATATATCTGGATTACATCAATCCTCAAAGTATTCTTTGTATTTTTGCTTATTCCTGGGTGAAATGAATTAGCTTCATGTTTTCCCTCATATTTAATACTAATAAAACCCAAATTTAGCCAAAATAAAATTATGTTGACTCATTTGTTTATTCACAAACTATTTTGCTACCCACCTTAAAACATAAACACACAACAACAACAAAAACATATTAAAAATTATTTCCTAGTTCATCAAAGGGAGCCCTGGTGGCATAGTGTCTAAGGCATCTGACTGCTAACCAGAAGGCTGGCAGTTCAAACCCACCAGCCACTCCTCGGAAGGAACATTAGGCAATCTACTTCTGTAGTGATACTGCCTCAGAAACCCAAGGAGGGCTCGCTGAGTCGTATCGACTTGCCGGCAGTGAGTTTAAGTTTGATTTGGTCTTGGTTTGAGTTTAGCTCCTCAAAAATAACTAGGTAGCTTCTTAAATGTTATGGCATTAAGTCTATTACAGTTCCAAATTCCTGCATGCACAGGAAAACTCGCCAGTGGTTACTAACTTCCAGCTAGATACAACTCCCAGAAAATAAATTTCACCTAGTCAGCTTATAGGAGCTCTGGTAGTATAGTGCCTAAAGGCACTTGACTGCTAGCCAGAAGGCTGGCGGTTCAAACTCACCAGCCACTCCTCAGAAGGAAGATGGGGCAATCTACTCCCATAGTGACACTGCATCGGAAACCCAAGGACGGGTTGCTATGAGTCGGATCCTACTCGACGGCACATAACAACAACGACAACAGTCAGCTTGTTGTTGTTGTTGTTATGTGCCGTCGAGTCGGCCCCGACTCATAGCGACCCCTCCTTGGGTTTCCGAGGCAGTATCACTACGGAAGTAGGATTGCCCAACCTTCCTTCCGAGGAGTGGCTGGTGGGTTTGAACCGCCAGCCGTCTGGTTAGCAGGCAAGTGTCTTAGCCACTATGCTACCAGAGCTCCCCAACAGTCAGCTTATAGGCATACAATTAAAAACTACCAAATTAAAGGTAATATTTATTGGGCATTTCTTATACACCCAGAACTATGTTAAATACTTTGCAGGCATTATCTAATATAAACTCGTATCAGTACTAAGAGCTAGGTATACTATGATCACCATTTTACAGATGAGGAATTATTTAAAAGTATAGGCCTGAAATAGCACAGCTAGTAAGTGGCAGAGCTAGGATTTGAACTCAGATCTGTTTGATCCCAGAGGCTGTACTCTGAACCACAACTTAGTAAGGCTTACTCCAGAAGAGCTAACTGCTTTTCCCCAACTCAAGAAGTAGGAGGAGCTCTGGGAATAAACAGGTGATAGACTGAGTCATGGATAACAGGGTCACCTACCAACAAAGCAACAGAAGTGGATGAGAAGTACTATCATACTCCTACTCCCTAAGAGGATAGATTTAAATGGCAAAATTTTCATAGCAAGAAGAGAAATAAGGAGGCATATTTGAGAGATAACATACCCCAAGGAGTACAGTCAACTTCACAAGAAGATTCGCATCTCAGGCATGAACCTGGGACAGCAGCAATATAGAACATAAATGGTCTAGATTTAACCTTGACTTGTTCAACTTTTATCAGAAATTTGGTCATAACAAAGGAAGGGACATGCTATCATCAATCCTCTCGTTCAGGTATTTTCATTGTTTTCTTACATCAAGTAAGATCACTAGAAGCCTGTCCACTTCCTGAACAACATTAGCTTCATCCTGGCCGACCTGTTTTCACTTGGTTACATATTAAAGCTATGCCCAGACAGTGTGCTCTGTCCCGCTCCTATACTCTCCCTTACAGATCTTTGCATCATTCTTCCGCAGTCATCAAAATTAGAAAACTCTTCTACCTCTTTCCTTTCTCTTCCCAAATCTGATGACTCAACAGATCTTACAGATTCTACCTCTTAAATATCTTAGATCCACTGCTGCTTTTCACCCATAATTATAGTCACTTACTTTAAGGCCTTCTTCAGATCTTTTTTTTTTAAAAAAAATCCCCAAAAGTGGCCAGTTGTCCTACCTTCAATGGCTCCCTTTCCAGTGTATTCTCCACATTGAGACCAAACTCAATTCATTAAAACACAAATCCAATATGCCAGTCTCACAGCTAAAACAGGAATGAGCAAATCTTCCTAACTCTGAGATTTTTCCTTTAACATTTGGGAGTAAGAGTCAACAATACATCCAGTTTGCTGGATGACGTGTCCTCATTTTCCTTACCTATACAAGAGTGATCAGAATACAGCTGGGCTACGAAGTCCTTCCCAGCTCTGCCGCCCTCCTGTTCTTTATTCTCCCTGTGGCTCCCCTAAGCCATGCAAGATCATCTCTACCCCAAAGCACTGTGGACCACCTTCTGGGATATCCTGGAACTGGAGCAGTGAGGAGGGTAAGGTAGGACGGACGTGGGTGATTCCAGCACACAATCTTAGAAGGCAGAGTCACGTCAGGACAGCTGAGGACAGGCTAGAGGACTAACTCAAGGCTCAGCTGTCAGTGTGCCTACAGACTTCAGCTGCTGTTAGGGAGCCATCAAGGGGAAACAGGGGACAGAAGCAGAAACCCCATGGAAGGTGAGCTTCCTCCACGGACCTAAGAGAGAGCTTAATAAAACAGCTTGTCTTTGACTTAAAGGATATAAATAGGGCAAATGGATGATAAAGAACAGAGAATATAAAGATCAGAGGCAGAAACTAGGAATGAAAGGAGAACCCTGGAAAATCCAAAAGTGATGAGTCAAATCCATGCTAACTAATGATTTCCAAGAAAGCGTGCACTACCTAGGACATTCTTCATTTGAATAGTTTCGACTCCAAGATTCTCTCAGAACAAAGGAAAAATATAATAAGTGCTTGACAGACTGATGTTTAGTAAAGTAGACATACATACAACTGGAAAAGTTGGGAAAGACCACTAACCTTAAAAATGTAGCTTCTGGAGGGGAAAAAGAAAATAACAGTGCTATTTTCCTTATCTCCTACCATGGTAAGGAATCAAGGTAACAAAGTATGGGTCTGGGTCCTGTGATGGAATGCCTACCCTGAGCATAGAACCTTCGTAACAAAAATCCCTGCAGAACCCAAAAAGCTCCACATTCTTTGTGCAGCCCTTCTATTAGTGAGCAGCCTAAATCCTGCAGTGAGAATGCCAGAGGTTTCAGGAATTTTGGCTACCACTGTCACTTATGTGGAAAAGAGATGGTTCATAAAATGCCCTACATGACTCAGTATGTCTATGGTCTAACATGCATCATTACATACATAGTTATATATCACAGATATAAATATATAACACACCAGTTACGTATCACGTATCACAGATATAAATGTGACACACCTATGAACAATACACATTTAAAATCTACCCTAGTCTATATGAAAGATACTATCCTGT